AGAAGAGCATCTATCCTCTCTTGAAGTTCACCCATTTCTTGCTGCAATGTCATAATCGAAGTATAGCAGCAAAAATAATCGTCATGCAAAAAGACCTTATGCCTTTTCATGAGCTCGTCAACATCCTTCTGGTTTTCGACAGCTTTTGTAAGTATGTCTTCCTTATCTTTAATTTGTCGCATCACTTCCTCCAATTCCTTGTTCAAGGAGGCCTGCTGATCAACAAATCTGAAACATAAAAGTGGGCTAATAAGCTAAGCCCAAAAACTGAACGCCTCAATAAAGGTCAAAATTTCCTTGTATACTTTATGCTAAAGGTCTCATCCAATGCCTCTTCGTCAGTGTCTCCATGAAAAATCTTTGCCATTGAGGGATCCTTCTCCTATATAAATGAAATTAAGTGGAAATCTTAGAAATCGTACATAAAAAGACACCTCCTCATCCACCATTTGTTCAGTAATTATCTCAGAAATTCGCTGAACAACATCAACATTCTCCGACTCGCCACTGCTTCTGAAATTAAAGCTGTATGTGGCATTGACTAATGAAACAGAATGCATTACTTGATCGTCTCGAGCGTTTGAGTTACAACGGCTTTGAGGCGTTCCCTCTGAGCCTCAACGTGTTGAAGTTGGTTGAGAAGATTGACCTGAAATTGCCAGATAGCAATCTTTGAGATATCGAAAGAATGAAGATATATTGCGTTTACCTGTTGACAGATCGCTTCAGCGGTTTTACCATGAGCTTCATTCAGTAGGCGCTCTTTTTCCGCTAAGGCAGACCTCATTTCAGCAATTTCAATCAAACTGGAATACTTGGCTGATTTGTAGACTATGCTCAATTAATCCTTCGACTTTGCATACCTCAAATTTGTACCCGCTGAACAAGGAGCTATTCCCATCCGGGTTTCCGCCAATTCTCTTTCCAACGCAGCGACCTGAAGTTGCACGATACTACAATCAGCAAAACTCTCCGTAAAGATTTATTCTTGGATAAAGGTATAGAGCATATACGTTTACTACTCTCCACAATAGAAAATAACGAAACCGGAAAGGTACCTTTTCTCGAAGCTCTTGTATCTTCTGCTGGCCAGGGTCAATGTTGACAATAGGTTTATTCTTGATCTTCTTCGCACGATCTGCATACCTAAAAAGACCAGAACCTCAAATTGAGACGAGTATAACAAGTCTATATGATGAGAAAGCACGATGGGCTCATACTACTAATAAATAGTATCAAAGTACTGATTATCTTAACGATGGATGATAATCCAACCGAAAAGAAAAGTCCATAATGGACAATCAAGAGAAAATGCACGAACTTTTAGTCATTACAGGTTCCCGCAAAATTGTGTAAATGCGGACAAGTAGTGCTTGTGCAGCGAACATAATGATTTTGCAACGTCTCGTTCCAACTGATCGTCGCAAGTCAATATAAATGATTAGGATAGCTTGTTTGATAAGGAAGATACATGAGTGAAAGAAATAGTAAATTTGATATTAGGAACTAGATGTTTCCAAAAATGTTTAACCAAGCTTTTAAATCCCACTGTACCCTAAACTTCATGATTGCTTCTACCCTTTTAGTAAGATAAATAAGCTGACCTGAGTGTGCTCAGAGTCTCCTCTGCATTAGAATCTGCCGGCGAAACACAGGCGATCATCAGCGTATAGGAGTTCCCACCGAGAGAATCTACAACAAAACGTTATTGAGCGTTGAAAGATTGCAGCGTTAACTTATTATTGAGCAAACCGAAAAAAAA